ACAACACCATTGTTGATGTCATCTATGATGTCATGAGGGTGCCGACTGTCCACGTTGCAGCCCACAGACTGGGTGGTCCCCAGGATCTCCTTAATAGTTCCAGAAAGTTCTCTGGCTAAAGACTGGTGCCGCATCTGTCGGGCAATGTTGACAATCTCATCAAAAGTGATATTTCCGCTGTGTTTAATGCTTTTCTGCTTCTTTCTGTCTCTTGGCGGCTCCTTGAGGGCTCTGATGATCAGGGCAGAGGCAGAAGGCACCACCTCAGTCTGAGCCTGTCTGTTCTGAATGGTCAGTTTCACCGTGATCCACAGGCCTTTCCAGTCACCAGTTGCCTTGGCAATGTCATCCCCCACTTTTTTTGGAGACAGACCCAAGGGACCAATCTTGGGGGCCAGGGCAGACGTGGTGCCAACTTCACCACCGGTGCACCTCAGGTACACGACTTTAATCTCGTTGGGGTTGAATTTGGGCGGCATGCTGGAGGTGTCTGGTGTCGGATGAACTCGGATTCGGGACAACCGAAGAAAGTTGCACCTTAGCCTCCTCCTAGCCAAAAGCTGAAAGCAACATTTCATTCTTTCATTCACTCAACCATCATTTAATGATAAGAGATCAAGTGCCAGTCTGTTAGGCTACAAAACTGGTTGAGACATGGCCTCTGTTTTTAGGAGCGCATATGACAGTAGGCAATGACACTTTTTTTCCTATGTAGTGTTTATGTATCCTTTCATCTGCTCTTCTATCTACTTATATCGTTTCTCTTTGAAAAGACATAAGTCGGAGTGGGGTCCTGGGTATCAAGCCAAGTATGCTCTAACACTAGTTATATCCCCAGCCCTTATTTTAAAATTTTGACTCAGGGCTCCCTAAGTTGCTCAGGCTGTCCTCAAACTTGCTGTTCCCCTTCCTCAACTTCCAGAGCAGCCAGGGTTATATGTGTGCAGTATCATGCCTGGCTTTTTTAGAAAGAGAGATTTTTTAAAGTGCATTATTTTTAGTGTAATGGGGCAAAAATAAGACAAACAAATGCTTCACATTGTATAGCATTTTACTGATGTCTCATTCTAATCTTAACGGGTCATATATTCCTGTGAAGGAATTAGGGCAGGCATTATTATGTCCATTTTAAAGATGAGAGCACGGGCTCCGAGAAGTTGCTCTCTATGTGCGAGATGGCCCAGCTTGTGTAGAGGGAGAAATCCTGGAATCTTAGTGCTCCACACACAGCACCCCAGCTGTGCCTGTTTTCCTTCTGAAGTTTTCATCCATGGGTTACTTTAGGGTGCCTGTCTCTCTCCCAGTACTATAACCTCAAGTGGATGAAGACATTGAGGATAAAGTTCTGGGCAGGGCTGCCAGAGATGACATTGCGAAAGGACACATTGTCCTGTCCTGTTTTCTTCCTTTCTTTCTGTCTTGTCTTAAAAATGTCCACAGCAATTCCTGAGACCTGTCTTGCAACATGGTAAGGAATCTAGGCGTGATGAAAGACAAAGGACTTGTGTATATGCTTTTAAAGGAAGCTACTTTTCTGATTTTATTAGCTTTGAGTATCTGGTTTTTCCAGTGTGATGACAATAAAATTCTGAATATTTCATGCTCCCCATATCTTTCTTTCTGGTTAAGAAGTGAATTAGGAGGCCGGGGAGATGGCTCAGTGGAATAAGCACTTCTCTGGCAAGCGCAAGGGTCTGAGTTCAATTCCCGGTCCTGAAAAAAAAATTGGATTAGGCTGGGAATATAGCTCAGCAACACAGTGCCTGCTTGGCAAGTAAATGATCCTAAGTTCAATTCCTGATACCAAAAAAAGGAGGGGTTAGATTGTGTTCTTTTTCTTTGGTGATTGTGCTGGCTGGGAACAAAACTACAGAGCAGAATGGATGGCAAAAGCTCTCAAGAGAAAAGTAACAGTGTTCAGAAACTGTCTAATGGAGATGATGGGCAGGTACAGAATAACAGTTCATGACATGAGACCTGGTATTTGAACTAGGCGGGAATCTTTACCAATCAGTCACGTTTTAAGTGAATAATCTTGAGTAAGTTATTTGTCCTTCCAAATGTAAATGAGAATACAATAGCAGCCACGTAAAACTATAGGGAGGGTTAAGTAGCTGTTACCTCAACACAACGCTTAGCCCCAGCAGCTGCCCAATAAGTATGAATCAATATTGTAGTAATTACACAACTTCATAAGCAAAGCCACGGAGGCATCTGTGGCATGTGACCAGTCCCTACATGCCTACAATGTTTTGCTACCCAGAAGACCACTCTTGAGATTTCCACATGCATTTTGTGTTCCTAAATTCTTTGCTTCATACTGATATAATCAGGAGAAAATAGAGATAGTGTTATTTTCAAATACAGAGAAAGAAAGCCAATTCATTCCTATTTGAATAATCCATATAGAAGAGATGTAGAGAAACAAAACTACTTATGAACTGCTTTTTTAAAGGCAAGTTCTATTATATGGGGAATCCTTGGGTTGGCTCTGGCTGCCCTAATTAGAAAGCCAGGGGTAAGCCACTGGGCCACAAGAGATAGTGTATAGGAAGCCAAGAGAGCTCCTGGCGATGTGCTGATTCTGGTGGGTACTTTCCTAAGCTCCCAGAAAACTGTGGACCCCAAGTTTGAGCTTGTACCTAGCCCACTGTCTAACTCATAAGTCTGGGGGAAGACCATTATTGCAAATTTTTGACAGGTTCCTGGAAGTGATGCCTGTGAGTCCAGACTGTGATTGCCCTTTAGAAATTGCTGTTCTGGAGCAATCTTTCCCCACTGTGAGGTCATTCTCTTACTGAAAAGAGTCTCAGAAGATTGGCCCCTCTTGATGCACTATGGCATTATTAAGAAAATCAAAACCAAAACACAAAAAGCTCTTCCCACAACACCTCCTATTTATGAACTCTGACATTTACCCTGCATTAACCTACATTATTTACATGTCTTTTGTCCTTCTTCCCTCTTGGCACTTTGTCTCTTCAGCTTTCCCTTTCAGAAATTTTGTCCACCTGTCTTTGCTTAGTATCCTGCAGGTCTTTGTACTGCTTTTTCTTGCTCAGTTCGATATAGTAAACTTTGTTTTATAACTGCAGTATTCCTCTTGCTCTCACTTCTCACCTAACAGTTCTCTGTCTCTCTCTTTTATACTGCACATAAATATATTTCATAAAACTGTCACAGTATCCATTTGCCACCTACCACATGATATTATTGACTGAAAGAAAAACTAAAACTTAAGGAACATCTGCCACTGACGTCAGGCCCTGTGGAATGAGTTGACTTCCTTACTAATTTCTTTCTTTTTTTTTTTTTTTTCCGGTACCAGGGATTGAACTCAGGACCCTGTGCTTGCCAGGCAAGCACTTATGCTACTGAGCTATCTCCCCAGCCCTTCCTTACTAATTTCATTAATGGTATTGTTACTGACGTTGTAGCCTGGTTTCAGCAGCAGTATTTATGTTGGAAACTCCCTGAAACTTTTGTTGTCTTTTAAAATTTTTAAATTTTCTGTTCTTAATGCAAACCTTAATTTAGAGTTTGTTCATGACAAATAGTTCAATATCTATTTAAAATTCTACTTTAGCAGGATTTTCATTCTCTGTTTTAATTTTTGGAATAGTTACATATAAATCATTATAAATGTATTACACAGATAAAAATGTAGAGACAAAGAATCTTAATAAAGTTTTTTTTTTCAATGTATTTAGGACAAGGGTCTACAGGGTCTAGAGGGTCTCACTACACAGATCAGTCTTAGTGACCCTCCTGTTTTCAGCCTCCCAAGCACTGGGATTATAGGCGTGCACCCCCACACCCAGTCTCATTCGCCATCTCAGCAGGCCCGGGTGTGGGGCCAGCAGGGGAGGGCAGGAATCAAACCCCTGGCCCCTGTGTCTGCCTAAGTAGGCACTTTAATCTGCTGAGATATCTGCCCAGGCCAAAGTTTTAGTTTTAACTTAACTTTGCTTTTTTTCAATTAAGAAGAGGAGATGGATATTTGCTACAATTCACTGTCTTCTTTATAGCTGTGGAAAAATGCACAATTTATATCAATCAGAGAAAAACCATAAGGCATTGTGTGTGTGTGTGTGTGTGTGTGTGTGTGTGGTGTATGTGTAAATTTGTGCTACATGGTACTTAACTAGCATGACAGTGACTAGCATATGATAAAAGATTACATTAATTTGCGCTCTGCTTCAGAAAAGTGAACATTTAAGTCAGTGCTTCAGATTCAGAAAATAGGTTTCTTTCCTTAAAAAAAGCAAAGAAGGAAATAAATAAAAACTGTAAGAAAGAATTCATACAGAGTATAATTTGGTAAACTGGTTAAAAGAAAACCACGAATTTTCTCTTATTAGCTAAATTTGCCCTTAAATTAAAAAAACTTTAGGTCTCATCTATTTGCTATACAATGAATGACCACATCAGCAATAAAGGAAAGAAAAATAATACCTGTATTAAATGGGGATGTTACAGCTTTTCTTTCGATGCTCCCCAAAGCCTCATTCAGTCAGAGGTGGGGTTTTTCTAGAATATGTGATATTGAGATTAAGAGTATGATTGGGATTTAGTGTGTCCTGCCCTGGGTGTGGGCGGCACCAATCAAAAGGTTTACACGGGGATGAAATACAAAGGGAGAGAACGCAGGCGCTTGCTCTTTGCTGCTTTGCTGCCTTCTGCCTGCCCCTCCCTGCCATGGACTGCTTGTCTTCCGCAGTTCGCCTCTGCCACCCTCTTGGAGCCAGCTGATCACGAACGGAAACCTCTACACTCTGTGAGCTGCAGTGCACCTTCCTCCTCTAGCTGTAGGTGTTGGCTTATGTTGTCCTGGTCATTAAAAAAATAGCTAAGGGGGCCGGGGAGATAGCACTGTAGAATAAGGGCTCGCCTGGCAAGCGCAAGGTCCTGAGTTCAATCCCTGGTACCGCAAAATAAAATAATATAAAATAAATAAAAGGAAATCCCATTTAAAAATAAGCTAAGACAGGGGAACAGATAGGAGAACAATAAGTACAAACAAAATAGTGTGGAAAGGATTTGAGTGCAGAAAAGGGGGAGGAGATAGCCTTGAACACTTTTTTTCTTTACTCCATCATTTATTAATTCTTTATAAAATTTAAAAAGTTCGTTTTTAGTGAGTAGTAAACTATTTCAGATGATGTGAGTCACTGAATTTAGTTTAAATCTCTTAAAGAAAATTATTTTCACATTAAAAAAATTTTCAAATGGCTACACTGGAAAAGCATAAGAATTCTGCCATATTTTATAATACCTAGAACATTGTAAGTTTTAACTCCGACAAAGATCAGCTTTCATGGTGTACTCTGAGGTGAGAACATAAGGCTTTAAGCACATTTGTGTGCCAGGAAGATACATCAGTGCACACTTTGGGGGGTGCTTGGCAGTATCTGCTGAGATGTAATGCCACGTAATCTTTAACACAGAAGTTCTTCCTCTATGAGTTTAAGCTGCATAATTAATTTTTTATGCA